ACCAGGCCCGGATGGCCTAACTAACATATTACAAACAATTCGCATCAATCTTACAGAAATTGTTCACTCACATTCTTAACACGGGAACTATGCCGCAGGAAATGCTGATGGCACATGTTGCCACCCTCCCGAAACCGGGGAAACCACTGGACAGGAGCCAGAACCTCCGCCCTATATCCTTACTGAATACGGACGTGAAGCTCATCGCAAAAATTTTCTCAAACAGACTAGCACCCATCATTCCGACCTTAATTAGAGGGGACCAGATGGGGTTTGTGGGGAGTAGGCAGGGAGCAGATGGCACACGCAAAATCCTAAAAATGCGACACGGACTGCGGGGAGGGAGGGTCCCAACTGTACTACTCTCCTTAGACGCAGAAAAAGCCTTTGACAGGCTCCATTGGCCCTTCCTCCTCGCGGTCCTCTGAAAATTTGATTTCCCGCCCCAATTCATATAAATAGTCACAGCGCTATACTCAGCCCCAACAGCTCGGGTAGTAAAGGGGGGATTCATATCCAAACCATTCTCTATTTCAAATGGCTCTAGACAGGGCTGCCCACTCTCCCCCCTACTCTACATACTAGCATTAGAACCCCTAACACAACTAATAAGAGACGACCCAAATATCCACGGAGTCACACTCAAGGGTCAAGAATACAAATTATCCCTATTTGCCGACGACATCCTTCTCACATTAGTACAAACCCCATATATCCCTCCCGAATTTCCACCAACTCCTCACCCAATACAGCCGCTGCTCCTTTTACAAATTAAATATCGCAAAAACCCAACGTTCCAGTATAAGACATGGCGCAATTAAAAACCAACTTCACATATGACTGGAGGCATGATCACATAAAATTTCTTGGAGTAAACTTCACACCCACACCTAACACGCTATTTAAAGCAAATTATATCAAGCTGCTTGGTGAAATCAGAACACTTCTGCAGAGCTGGAAGGGGAGATTCATCTCCTGGGGAGGCAGAATAGCTTCCGTGAAAATGGTTGATTTACCTAAAATCCAATATCTATTCAGAACATTACCGATTCAACTCCCGCACAAATATATCCAGGACCTGCAAAACCTTCTACATGACTATATCTGGGAGGACAAGAAGCCTCGAGTGGCAAAGACAACAATGTACCGAACATTCACCAAAGGCGGGATGGATCTGCCAGATATAATGGGATACTACAGAGCAACCCACATAGCATCTTTACTAGCATCACAGCAACAGCATGAACCAATGGCATGGACTGAGATGGAAAAGAATTATGCGAATGGTCTATCCATCTCAGCATTAGCCTGGCTGCCTAAAACCCAAAGACCAAAACTCGCTGAAATGCTGCCCACAACCAGGCTCACCATCTCAATGTGGGACAACTACCGGAAACGTATGGGAAACAATGTCCTATTATCCCCTGCCTTCCCACTGAAATTGATGAAACTCCTCATACCGGACTTTAACTACAAACTTTGGCATAGACACGGCATAAAACGTTCTCACAGCTACTACAAGGCTCCCACCTGATGCCATTCCCAGACCCAGCTCGAATACACGCTACCCACAGTTATGTTTTCATATAGACAACTACATTCCTGGCATGCCCTGCAACCGAAACAGACGCTCACTCATGACACAGACCCAAGCTGGCATACTATTGAACAAATCTGCACAACAGCCAAGCCAGCCAAAAAACTTATCTCAATCACCTACACATCAGAAAACCTTCAACCCCATCAGAACCCCCCCTCTTTCATAACTGCATGGGAAAAAGACATTGGACACCAACTCTCCAAAGAACAGTGGCACACTATCTTCAAGCACACAAACAGCTCACTCTATGCATGGCCCACTTGGAATTAACCCGCAAAATCTTATACAGATGGTACTTCGTCCCCACACGCCTTAAACACAGCTTCCCCGCCACATCAGATATCTGCTGGAGATGCCAGAGAGACAGGGGCACCATGCTTCATATATGGTGGCAGTGTACGGAGCTTCATCAATTCTGGCAACAGACTGCGAATCTAATCACTAAGTGCACGGGGACTCAGCTACCATTCAAATCTGAAGTATTCCGTCTCCTCCTGTTACCAAAGGCAACGCACAAGCACCAGACAAACCTCACCTACCATATCATCATATCCGCTCTCACTAGCATTAGTTGGAAATGGAAGCAAACCAAAAAAATATAAAAGTACATCATTCAGTGCTTATAAAATGATTACGGTCCAATGGCAGCTCAATCACCAAGTACATAGTCTTTCTTTTCCAGTTAAAAGCTGGATAAAACATGGGGTAGGTGCAGAGAGTATGTATATAGAAAGATACACAAAATAAAAGCCACAATAGTGTACACCATTATTATGGTGTGCAAGAAACAATAAAAAGATAAAAACCTACTCATATGCTTTAGAGCAAAGTACAGTTTTCTAAATCAAATACACTTAGGTGGCATTATCTCCATAGTAACAAAGTAAAAAATAAATGCGTATCAATAACAGATTTAACACGTTTCACCTAAACATAGGCTTTCTCAAAAGTGTTTCAACTACCTAAGCGTATTGGATTCTTTGGTTTCTTTCTGTATACATACCTATGCAGGCATACTGACTACACGTATATCCTTGAGAGGAGATACCAATTCACACGCTAATTTTGGAGCAAATCTTAGGGCTCCAATACATGTGAGTGCACATTTTATATTTATACCTACCACTGCTACAAAGCTCAATATACTAAACTACAATTTTCATCCGTTTTATTTTTATGAAGATACCTTCTTCAACTACAACCACGTGAAAAATCTGTACTGCACTATATCCTTAGGCAGGGATCATTCTGCCCGGGTGCATAAGTTGGAGCAGCATTGAAGCTACATAAAAGTGTGAGTGTACATTTTTATCTTATTTATAGCAACAACAGTTTTAATGTACTACACTATTGTTTTTTTCCTGTTCTTTTTCCTTGTCGTTGAATATATCCAAATAATAACTATTTAAGCGCGTAACCTTTTAACCTATTTAAAATCATTTCTCTAACAAGATTTAATCAGGACCATAAGTTAGTTGACATGTTTGCCTAAGTAAATTGAATTTCTGAAATAAGGACTGTAATAAAGAGTGATTGGATGAAGTAGCAAATGAAAGTGTTTATAATGATGTTTGGAATTGTGATAAAAGGTGGTAATGAGGGTAGTGAAGGAGGCTTAGTAAGCAAATTAGACATATGTAAGAACATAAATGAACATACAGTTATACACATCTGCTCTAAAGCACAATGCTACAACATGACTTATGTAAGAGACACAAAGGGGTTATTTGACCATTTCTTTTACATCTCACCTGGAATGATTTTGAGATATGGCCTGTTTTCTAACAGAGAGCATTTTAGGATGCATTGTTGTGGGTAACACATGTTAAATACATTTCTAAAACAACATTTACTCTATTAAATTCACTTAATTTCATCACACTGCCCTGCGTCAATAGAAGAGATAGCATTTGATGAAATCTACATTTTAAAGTCTACAGAAACACTGCCCATTCTTGATCGCTCCTATTCTATTTTATTGTTAGTCTTTATATAGCTTTTCACAATTATTAAGGGAGATGAGAGTGAGAGGTGAAAAATTACCTGCTTAAACAATCTTAAAATCTATGAGGGTATTAGGTAGGGGACTATTCATTGTTAGAGTGTCTTCCCCAGAGATATTCACTGGTCTAAGGTCTAAAACAGCGATGTTACCACTGTTCTAACCAAACTGCCTTCCAGAAAAACGTCCCTAGTTGCTCTGTCACTATAGTTACTGTTCATTTCTATCGCTCCCACAACCCTCAGTGATAGTTAGGGGCTACTTACCTCTATTCATGTTGTGCCTGTCCCACAGAGTCTTTATTCATGGTGCTGCCATCTTAGCTTTTCCAAGATGGTAGTTGCTGAAAATTTCCTCCTCTGCCCTTCCTAATGCCTTTGTGTCAAATCTCAGAATACCTGGTGAGGACTTCCAGGGGTTTACAGCAATGTGTTAACTTTTAGGATCATGCAAGAGTCATCAAAGAGAATTGACTGTTCAGGAACTCCCTCAGCAGCCCGCAGCAGCATGGAGGGAGGCAGGAGAGGACCCGGGGAGCTCTAGCCAGCAGCAATGCCGGGTTCCTCTTGCGAGATCTGAGTGTTGCCGCGGCAACGCTCCGATCTCGCGAGAGTGAACTCTAGCCCCGCGGGCTAGAGTTTACTCTCCACTGGACCACCAGGGATGGCACATTGCAGCAAGGATCCCCCCTCCCTATATAAGGTAAGAAAGGAGGGGGGGTATTTACTAATCTGCCCCCACCTCCTCCCCAAACAAACAGCACACAAACAGCACCCTCACACATACAGCACACAAACAGCACCTACACACATACAGCACACAAACAGCACCCACACAGCACACAAATGGCACCTTCACACATACAGCACCCACACACCGTACACTAACAGCACCCTTACAAACACACACACAGCAACCTTACAAACACACAGCACCCAGCCCCTCACACACAGAGCATACAAGAAGCACCCTCACACACAAACAGCACCCTCAAACACACACACACACACATCACACAAACAGCACCCTCACACAGCACACTAACATGACCCTAACACACACAGCACACTACCAGCACCCTCACACACAGCACACTAACAGCACCCTCACACACACAGCACCCTCACACACACAAACAGCGCACTCACACAGCACACTAACAGGACCCTAACAAACACACTCACACACAGTACACAGCACCCTCACACACAGCACACACAAACCACACATCACACTAACAGCACCCTCACACACACAGCACACTAACAGGACCCTAACAAACACACACACACTACCAGCACCCTCACAAACACACACACACACACACACAACCCTCACCCACATAGCACACTATCAGCACCCTCCCATCACACTAACAGCACCCTTACACACACACACACCCCGCAGTGTATGTATGTGTGTGTGTGTGTGTGTATATATATATGTATATATATATATACACACACACACACACACACACACACACACACACACACATACATACATACATACATATACACGCGGTGTGTATTTGTGCTGTAGGGTGCACACCCTAATGCAATAGGCTGCACACATCTATGCTAATACTATAAAGTTCCTTTAAACTTATTCAGTGGTGATGCAAAGTACTGACCTATAAATTGTTCAACTTTTTACAATTTCTAATGCAGAAGTGAGGCACCGGTGTATAGCGGATGCCACTGAGACCAATATCTCTTCCAAAAGTCACAACTTTCCTTTGATTTCCTGTCCCCATTTGTCTTTTATTTGATTTATTGCCTTTTATCGTGCCACAAATTACAGCTTAAACATTTAATTTTGGGTGGAAAAAAAAGATACTTTGAATACTTTACAATATACATTTTTCCTTTAGTGTCAAGACTTCTCCATACAAATTCAAATACAATAACAAATTAAAGATTAAAAACAGGATATTTATTTTCAATGTCAATCAATTTAAATAAATCTCTATCTGTAAGAATTTTTGCTCAGAAAGCCTGGCTTATAACATATGTCTGGGTATTTACATTACTGTGATGCTTAGACAAAATACAATCTCTTACTGCCATGCAGCGTACCCAGCATTTCTAAAACAGAGAGATGATGATGTCCCAGAATACATACCAGTATAAACATGCTCTTAACGGAGTACTATTTTTAGACAGGTTGTCTCTATGGATTGGAAACACTTGCATGATGTTTGTGCCAGTGATGTTTTTAAAGCAGCATTGCCATCTTGTAAATCATTCATCCTGTATTTAAAATAGTGGTATGGAATTATCTCAGGGCTAATCACTCCTGAAGAGCATATTGGTTTTCGGTCACATTAATGTAACATTATTAGTATCAGAACCATTACACTTAAAGCAGTGGTTTGGGGTATAGTGATTGTTCCTACAGTCTCTGCTCTGTAAACACTGCATTTTCAGTGAAAAAGCAGTGCTTACATTGCTCACTAAGGAGTTGCTTCCTATTACTCTCCTGCAATCATTGCAGGGCTAACATTCGGTGCCATCATGTTCAGCATGAAGACACTGAATACTCACCATAGAGATTTATTAAATAAAGCATCTATATGGGAAAAGGTGGATTGGCTCATTGGAGCAATTGCGCATGCACAGTAAAGCCGCAATGCTTCTCTATGGAGAAGCAGTGAATTGCCTGAGATTATCTCACCACTAATGGTCTCAGCCAGGGGTGAAGTGGAGGCCACAGCAAGATCAATGTGGCGTGGGATTAACGTAGTGCATCACTTTGTTTTTTTTAGTGAGGTAGAAGAGACTAAATCTGAAACATTAGGAGAATAGTTTAGTGTAAGAAATGTAATTGTGGGGCAAGGCTTGACTGGCAGGCAAGTGGTCACACTGCCTGAGCTCCTGGAGATTTCTCACAATATAGTCTCTTATGCCAATTTTCTGACTCAGCTGATTTATTGTGACCCTGGGATTACTAGTCTTGGCACCACTTTCTCTGATCAGCATCTTACTGGGACAAACCTACGGCCTAATTGCGGCCTAACTAGCAACGTGGGAGTAAGCCGATCCCTCTACCCACAATCTACCAAAGAACGTCTATAAGCTACGTAACTACCTCTGTGCACACCGTAAATTTGACAGGGCTCATTGTCGGCACCTGACATGGCAACGGAGCACCAATCTGTGGAGCCTCGGTGGGGTCTATAGACAGCATGTGACAGCATCTGCGAGGCCTTCTGGGAGCAGTTATGGCTCCGTGCAGAAACCGCGGCACCCCCTATCTCGTGGAACTCACACAACGTGAAGGCAGCCAAAACCACTCCTGATTATCTCTCGCTGGAGAGTCAGAGAGGCCCTCGAAGGGACACCCTTGTCTGCGGCGACATCCATCTGGTAATCCTGGGAGGCGGAGTGCCGGTAGATGGGAACTCCTGCATAGATGATGCTTACACGTCCGAAAGAGCAGTGCCGTTCCTCATCCTAGTCCAACACTCTGACCTTGCAGGGGACTGCTCCAGGGCAACCCTGTCTTACTGCAAGATCTGACTGGGGCACACCTCGCCTATCCTACAGGAGCCCTTGGATGCGGCTCCCCGCACATCTAGACACACTCACAATGCAGGCCTCAAGAAGAGGTATTTGCTATGGGAATAGCCGAATCTAGAGTTACAAACTTGAGCAACAGTATGTGACCCTTCCCCCCAGACATGGTTTTTCATATCTATGATATGCCATACCTCTATCGTTCTCCTTATGACCCACATTCTTTAGTGCCAGTGTACAACCCTGGTGTTTATGCTTTGCTATATATATTTTACTCTTAGCAATCGGTGCATAGGTTTTGTTTTATATCAGTGCACTCCTTATGCTTATGAATTCAAAGGTGCATAATTCATGAATGTATAATTACTGTAAATAAGTGTATATGGAATTTTCATCTGTTTTATTTTACTAATAAGTTATTCAAAACATTATTATCTCTACACTGTGCATTAGTTAATAAATACAACACTTGTATTGCTAAGTTCCCCAGTAGTAGTTCATGGAAAGATTTATTGGGAAAGTAAACATTAGAACGATCAGATCTTATGAGTCAAAGCACATTCAGCTATATTCATACAGTTGAAACTCATTCATAGCAGCTACAGGGTACAATTAAAAAATGCTTGTATAAGATAAAATACAATTACTATAAAAGTAAAGATCAAGCCATAAACAGAAAATCATCTCCATGGTTAACAGAATACACAGCAACTGTTATACAAGACAAATTAATTTCCTGGGAAGGGAAATTGTAATGTCCCAACAACCTAGAGTTCATAAGACAAATTGGTGTGCATTATAAATAGAATATTTTCTAAAGCTCTTTTTAAATGGTTACTCTAAGCATCTGAACCACTGCAGATCTGTTTGTATTTTGGTGGTTTTAGAGGAAAAGCCTGTGTGCTTTCTCCCTGGTTGGTATCAAACATTTTATAAGCATAACGATGAGTGGCACTCGTTAAAAAATCCATCCATAGTGCTTCCAGATCAAGGTGGGCCATTCACAACACATCTATAATCATGAAGAAAGTAGGAATGGGCACATATAGATGGTGTTTAGACATATTTTGTTGGAAAACCATACAACGTTTCGGCTCCCACAGGAGCATTTCTCAAGCTAACACAAACGCAGAGTGAACTGTTTCAAGAGAAACCACAAATGCAAAAATAAGATATTGAAAAAGATATAGCCTAGACCAGGAACACAACTGGAAACCCCCTTCTGCCTTCTGCCAAGCACAGTCATGTGACCTTAGGTCTAATCATGTGACCCTGACTGTGGCTATATCTTTTTGGCTTTTGGTATTTCCATTGTAAACAACCGTCTTTTTGCCCCCCTTACATGCAGACCTAGGTTTGTTTTGATGGACATTTGCTGTGTAATTGCTGAAATAAAAAGTACTACCAATTGGACCTGATACTATGACAATATGGGAAATATTGATTGCTTTCTATATTTTTGAATAAATAAAGGAGCATTGTATTATATTTAGATTTTTTTCATTATATTCGCATGTTTTATACGATATTTGTGTATGTAATTTATGTATTTCAAGTTGTGTAACGTCATAATAATGTGATTACTGTTTTGTACATGCATCCGTTTTTTGTACACAACACCTTAATTTAATACCACTTCTACATTATACAAGGCAACCTCATTGAAAAGTTTCCTGAATATTTCTAAATTATAATATTGCCTTTTTCTGCCACCATGAATGTTTTTCAGTCACAATGTTTTAGTCACTTTGCAAGATTATTGTGGAATTCTAGTTGATGTAGGTTCCACGTACAAGCTCAACTGCGTCTCACTGCGAAGTATGCTACCTGCAGCTCACAGTACAGAGCTCTGTGCTACCTGATCCACCGTGGACTGAGGAAAATCACCCTCCAGCTGAAAAATGGCAATTCATCACTTTAAATGTATGTATAGCAATATATGTGTTTTCCTGACACTATAGGATAAATAGGTCCCCTCCCTCCCTCACGCCCCCCCACCCCCCCTTCCATCCCCCCCGAGTGCTGGGTCAGGCTCTGCCGATGTTTTCATAATGTGCATTTGTAGCAATGGCCGCGCGCGCATTCAAGCCCCCAATAGGAAAGCATTATTCAATGCTTTCCTACGGGAAAATCTTACGCTGAGCGAGAGGATGTCCAGCGTCAGATAATGGACCAAAAGTCAGTTTGGATTCCGGAAGCGCCCTCAGTGGCAGTCTGGTAAACAGCCACTGAGGGCAGACTTACAGCTATTGCACTAAGTGCAATAGGGACACAACACCCAGACATATATTTGCGTTTGTCTGAAAGTATGATTCTCTATACATGAGTGGTTGTTGGGGGTTCCCAGCCTTTGGGTTTCTAATTCTAATGTCAGTCCTGTCCATGTGTCATGTAAGGGATTAAAACCACAGGTATATCAGACATAGAAACATAGAATGTGACGGCAGATAAGAACCATTCGGCCAATCTAATCTGTCCAATTTTCTAAATACTTTCATTAGTCTAATTTCTAGGATAGCCTTATGCCTATCTCATGCATGCTTAAACTCCATCACTGAGTTAACCTCTACCACTTCAACCAGAAGGCTATTCCATGCATCCACTACCCTCTCAGTAAAGTAACACTTCCTAATATTATTTTTAAATCTTTTCCCCTTTAATTTAAGACTATGTCCTCTTTTTGTGGTAGTTTTTCTTATTTTAAATATACTCTCCTCCTTTACTGTGTTGATTACCATTATATATTTAAATGTTTTCATAATTTAGAAATGTTATTCCTTAAAGTGATACTATAGGCACCCAAACCACTTCATCTCATTGAAGTGGTTTGGGTGCACTGTCCCTATCCCGGTAACACTGCGAATGAAAACACTGTAGTTTAATTCTGCTAGCTGTCTACCAGATAGCCATTAGAGACGTTTCCTGCTGTTTCATGGAGTTTAACTCTGTGAAACAACAATGGACATCCTCACGCTTTGCATG